TTTCTCTTTTCTTTTCTTTTCTTTTCTTTTCTTTTCTTTTCTTTTCTTTTCTTTTCTTTTCTTTTCTTTTCTTTTCTTTTCTTTTCTTTTCTTTTCTTTTCTTTTCTTTTCTTTTCTTTCTTTTTTTTTTTTGTTTTGTTTTTTTTTGTTTTGTTTTGTTTTGTTTTGTTTTGTTTTGATATGTTTTGTTTTGTTTTGTTTTGTTTTGTTTTGTTTTGTTTTGTTTTGTTTTGTTTTGTTTTGTTTTGTTTTGTTTTGTTTTGTTTTGTTTTGTTTTGTTTTGTTATGTTTTGTTTTGTTTTGTTTTGTTTTGTTTTGTTTTGTTTTGTTTTGTTTTGTTTTGTTTTGTTTTGTTTTGTTTTGTTTTGTTTTGTTTTGTTTTGTTTTGTTTTGTTTTGTTTTGTTTTGTTTTGTTTTGTTTTGTTTTGTTCTGTTCTGTTCTGTTCTGTTCTCTTCTGTTTTGTTCTGTGTTGTGTTGTGTTGTGTTGTGTGGTCTTGGTTTTGTTTTTTGGTTGAGTTGTGTTGTAGTTAGGGATGTGATGAGATGTCTGTGACATGTCACTCCCCAGAGTCAAAGTTCAGTTTGAACTGAGATGATGGGGAAGCATGGCACTCTGATCTGATCCAAGATAGACCCATCAAAATTCATTGATCTTTTCATTCTTGATACTCCTGATCCTCATACACATCCTCAAGATAACTCAGACTCAACAACCAAAATGGGAGTCGTTGGACAATTTTTGGGAGTCGTTTTTCCGACCCCCTTTTATTAAGGCCCTTTATTTTTGGGCCTTAATAAAAAAACCCGCATTTTCCGCGTTTTGACGCGCTTTTGCTGCGCGCAGCACACGCGCATTCCGCGTTTAAACGCACGTTTATTAATTAATTTTTTTTTGCCATTAATTTTGATTTTTTTTGATTTTTTAAAATTGTTTCCTGCACTAAAAAACATGTAGAATTTAATGGTAAAGTCCATTTTGCATAAAAATGACTTTTGATTCTTAATTTTTTTTTTCCACTCATTTTTTCCATTAATTGTTTGCATGCATGTATGTACTTTATTTCTTAAGTTTTTTTGAGGTTTTAAAATTATTTCCTAGGTTTTAAAACATGCAGAATTTAATGCCGCAATTCAAATTTTTTTAAAACTCAACGGTTCACTTGGAATACTGAAATTAGACACTTTTTTCACTTAAATTTTTACAGCTTAATTTTCATTCTTTTTTCACTTTTTAAATTTATTTCCCACACTTCAAGACATGGTTAAAATGATGGTAAAAATAATTTTGGATAAAAACCAAAGATTTGTAATGAATACTGTGTGGGACAGGTTTTTTTTTGATGTTTTTTTAAATAATTTTTACTGACTGGCTCAATTTTAATCATTTTTTGGAATTTTAACTCTATTTCCTACATCTAAAAGTGTGTAGAATTTAATGGTAGAATTCATTTTGACTCAAAACAAAAGCTTCAATCTTAATATAAGAGTGTACACCATTTCTTGCATAATTTGTACTGTATACAAATTTTGTTTGAATGCAAAATGGATACAGCCAACAATTTGAAACCCTTTCAAACTGTAGGAAATGAACTTAAAATTCTATCAAATAAGGATATTTAAGCATGTAAGAATTGATTAAAGAAACATGTCAAAGGCTTTATTCAAGGTACATTTTTCATTTTTATGCAAAGTGATTGTTACCATCATTTTTAACATTTCTCAAAGTGTGGTAAACAAATTTAGAATGTCAAAAAATAATGAAAATTAAGCTCTTAAAAATTGATTGAATTTTAAGGCTGATTACTGTATTCAGAATGAACCGTCGAGTTTTATGGAAATTGAATGTTACCATTAAATTCTAAACACTTTGAAATGTAGGAAACAACTTTAAAATTTGAAAAAAGCATAAAAAATAAGGTAAAAAAATTAATGCAAACAATTGAGTGAAAAAGTGAAGAATTAAATAAAAAAACGGTGTCAAATGCAGTATACAAGATGTAGTTCTCACTTTGATTCAAAATCATTTTTACCATAAATTTATACATGTCTGAAAGTGTAGGAAAAAAGTTTAAAATGTGAAAAAAGAATGAAAATTGAGCTCTAAAAGTTTAAGTGAAAAAATGGGTGTAATTGCATTATTAAAAATGATCCATTCATTTTTATGAAAATTGGATTTCACCATAAATTTCTACATACTTAATAATGTAGGAAACAACTTGTTACACAAAATCTTGAAAAATGAGGTAAAAAACTTAAAGCAAACAATTAACGGAAAAAATGAGTGGAAAAAAAAAATCAAGAATCAAAAGTCATTTTTATGCAAAATGGACTTTACCATTAAATTCTACACGTTTTTTAGTGTAGGAAACAATTTTAAAAAATCAAAAAAATCAAAATTAATGGCAAAAAAAAATTAATTAATAAACGCGCGTTTAAACGCGGAATGCGCGTGTGCTGCGGCGCGGCAAAAGCGCGTCAAAACGC